TGCTGGAGCAGAATTGTAATTATGGTGAAGACCCTCTTCGACTTCATCCAGAGATTTTTTTGACAGCAAAATGATGGAAGGGCTTGTGTGCACCCCATAGTGCTCAGTGCTGTCCTAGCAGGAAATACTCTTGAAAAGATGGGGAGATCATGAAAGCAGCCACGGAACTCTGGAAAGCAAGCAAAGCTTGCTCTGAGGTGACCGAAGCGCCTCACCTGATGATTGTATGGACTTTTGCTAAGTAAATCATCAAGCTCACTCATTATGTACCTCTGATCAATGTAAAGAGATACATAAAGTGCTTCATGGATGGAATACAACATTTCTAAAGCGACAGAAAAAGTTTACTTTCATTAAAATGTGAAACACCAGTATTTGGGGGGGAAAAAAATCTGAGATGGCAAAGAATTGGTGGGATTTGTGATTTAGAAAGAGCATAGAATCAGGCGGATTATCTCATCTGTTTCTCCCTTTCCTCTTCTTCCTGAAATAAGAACTGAAGGAAATTCCGTTTGCAATTGTTCTGGGGATGGCCAGAAGGTCCTCGACTGAGGCATCGCTTTGAAATGTATTAACTGGGAGCAACCAAAAGACCACCTACTCTCAGGGTCTGTGTCCACCCCCATCTTTTACCTCAGGCCTCATCTTTGTTATGGAAAAGTTTTCTCCCCAGTGGCAGCAAGGCTTAAAGTGCAAGTAAAGACAAGGCTGCAGCTAGTCCTTCACTATTTTAAGCATTTTGCAATCATACTCTTTAAAAAGGAGGCCGTGGATGTGTTCTGGAATTCCACCATGTGGTTGAGAGCCCGACAAAATTCAGATATTCCAGTTTCCCTAGCTATTTGAGGTTTAAAATTTTTGCTCCGGATCAGAATAGATGAATTATTTACCATGAGAAAGTTGCGGAGAACATCAGTTTCAATCGATGGAAATCAAAGATTCAGCTTTTCAAATTTTGTATTATTTTGTAATACATAATATAAAATGAAATATTTTGAAACCAAAACTCATTTTTGAGGGAAGAAATTGAAACATTTAACTTGGAAATGTCAAAACGAGATGTTCCCACACTGTTGGAACATCCCTCCACCACTTACTCTTTTTTAAAATGACATTTTCAGTGCAACCGACACAAGTTTGCAAAGCGTTTCGATTTTGACAGGGTTGCATTTTCCAGTGGAAAGCTGTTCTTGCCGAGGTTTTCCAAGCAGCTCCACTAGGAACAGGTGTCATGGGATGGCAGCAAACCTTCCCTTTGGCAAACTGCTAAATGAGAAGCAAGATGCTGGAGAAGTGGTTGGGGTGTGCAAGGCATGAAGAGGGGGGCACAGGATGCCCACCCCGGGAAGAAGGTAGAGAACCTGGTGCTTGAATCACCTCTACCCATACGTCTTGTCTCCTGTGGAACTGCAGTGTTTGTGGGCTGAACTGGCAGTAGCAACTGTGGGGGATTTTAGGGGGAAAAAAAAAAAAAAAAAAAAAAAAAAAAAAAAAAAACCCTCAGTGTGTGGGCATGGCGACATGCTCAACACTGCAATTTCCCTCTCTACCATCCCAGTTTAGAAGTGACAAGAAAGAAGGATTATCCTCATGATTGGAGTAACTCCCAGTTCAGGACGGGGATCTTTAGCGAGCCATGAATGTGGAGGTGGGATGAGCAGCAACACATGCCCTTAAATTCTCTCTGTGGGCTGATTTCAGTCTGGCGATATCCACTGGACATGACTTGCCTTTGACAAGGGGATGTGTCCCTCCATGAAGGTGGAAGAAATGTTTAACCAGGTAGGTTGCCATTAAGGTGAGCCACCTCAGGTGCTGGAACATGTCCAGAGGAGAGCCACCAAGCTGGTGAGGGGTCTAGAGAAGAAGTCATATGAGGAGAGGCTGAGGGAACTGGGTACATTTAAATTGGAGAAGAGGAGGCTGAGGAGGGACCTCATTGCCCTCTACAACTACCTGAAAGGAGGCTGTAGAGAGGTGGGGGTTGGCCTCTTTTCCCAAGTGAATAATGACAGGAGCAGAGGAAATGGTCTGAAGTTGCAGCAGGGGAGGTTTAGATTAGATATTGGCAAGAATTACTTTACTGAGAGGATGGTCAGGCACTGGAACAGCCTGCCCAGGGAGGTGGTGGAGTCACCATCTCTGGAGGTATTTAAGAAAGTATAGATGTGGCTCTTCAGGGCATGTTCTAGTGCCCAAGATTGTTGGTTTGTGTCTGTTTATGGGGGTGTGTAGTTTTGGTTTGGTTTGGTTTTTTTGTGGTTGGATTCGATGATCTCAAAGGTCCCTTCCAACCATGAAGATTCTGTGATTCTGTAAAAGCACAAGTACCCAACTCCTTCAGAGAATGAAATGAAAATTCTTGGTCCTCTGAGAAGTCGGCGCTTTTTGAAACTCACAGCCAAAGAGAAATGCGTTCCGATCTACTGCAGTGTTAAATAAAGTTCCTTTTCACACACCACCACTTCGGAATGACCGAACAGACGGACTGACTAACATCAGAAACTCGAGCTGGGCACAAATGAGTTAGCCTTTTTTTTTTTTTTCTTTTCCACTTTTCTCACAGGAATGCCGTTTGAAATGATCTCCTTTCTTCTTAATTTAACGATTGCCACTGGAAAGAGCCAGCAGCAGGAAAAAAATATAGGCAGCAATTAGGATCTTGCAGTCTCGTGGTGGGACTAAATGCAAGGAAAGTCCTGGATGGTGAAGATGGGTCCGTGCTTCTCGGCGGACGCCCTTCCTTAGATGGAGCCCTGAGATTCTGGGTGCCTCAGGAGACCTTCACGAGGAAGACTCGCTGTCAGCTCACAGGCACATGCCAAGCTGGGCACCCCTAAAAAATGCAAATCTCAACCCAAAATCTTTTAACTCTCACTTGTGAAGAGTCGAGTAGGTTTTTGTTGGTTTTTTTTTTCCTGAGAAACGAGGAATACGGAGTATTCCTCCTCCGCGGGTGGATGTGGTAGATGGACCAGCTAATGTCTTTAGACACTGTGTCAAATGATAAATATTTATCGTGTTTCTGTATTAATACGTGTGAAGGAGAATACATATTTATGACACTGCAGAGGCAGAAATCTCGCGGAAGCAAAGCCAGCTGGATATTAACAGTCTCCAGGAACTGGCTGTTGAATAAAGCACAGATTCCCGGTCTCCCCGGTTGCCCCCTCCGCCTTGGGAGCCGCTTGGGTCCCTCAGAGACGAGGGATTCCCCCGCACTCCCCCGGGGCCGCCATGGCGGCTGTCGCGTCAGCCCCAAAAATACCCAAGGCAGGACTCCAAGGACCGTGAGGAAAAGGCAACCGAACGGTGCCAAAATTTGGGGCGTTCCACGGGAAATACAAGCGCGGGGGCACAGGGCTCGGCCTTGAGGGGACGACCTGCCAGCGCCCTCAGCGGCCTAAGGCCCAACGCCCGCCGACCCCCCGGGGGGCACCGACCCCGAGGCCGCGGGGCCTGTCCCCGCTCTCCCCGCCTGAGGGTTGACCTCTCCGCTCCCCAGCGCTTCCCCCACCACCCTCACCCCGGGGCGGCCGGGGGGGGGGAGGCGCCGTCCGCCCCCGCGGGCCGGAGGAGGCGCTGCCTTCCACGTTGGCTGGAGGCCCCGCCGCACCGCCGTGCCTTCCCCCGCGCCCCACCGCCGGCACGACGGGGAGTGTGTGTGTGTGGGGGGGTGGGCTCCATCGCCATTCAGCACCCACCGCCCCTTCCACGCACACACACACACACACACCGCCCCGGGGGCGCGGCGCACGGTGCGGGGCGCCCCGCTCCACCTCCCCCCCCCACACACGCCTCCCC